CCGGTGCCCGGGTCCTCTCCGGCGAGGCTCCGGCGCCTGTGGCGGCGCGCACCCGGCCCCGCTGCCCCCCTCGCTTTAGCATCCGTTCTTCCAGCCCCCTTGGGCTTGGTAAGTGCGGAAGGAATGTGCCGCCTCGCCGGGGTATTCGGGGACGGCTTGCCTTTCTAATTTCGGCTCCACAAAGAATATCGGGTCAATTCTTGGTTTTCACAGAGCTCTTTATGGAGCGGGGGAACAGCTGGTGCTGGGTGAGCTTGGGTATCACGCGCTCCTGCTAGCGACTGCGCAGCGCCGTTCAGCCCTGCCGCTGGGACGTTTGGTTGTTATTTTGTTCTTTGGTTTTCTTCCTTCTCACCCTTCCCCACGGTTTTGAAGTGCGAGATGCACCTCCTTCTCCCCGCTGCGCTCTCCCAACCCTGGCTCTTTCCAACGCTCGATAGCCGCTGCCCTATATCGGGGGAGGCCAGTTAATCTTGCCTTGAGCTCGGCCCAGCTCCCAAAGTGGGCACCAAGCACAGAAGTCCTGAGCGCCCGTGCAGCTGTTTTTATGTACCTGACGGTGGCATGTGTGGCATGTCCTGTAATAAACATTTGCCCTGATTAACTGGATTAGTGAGGAAGAGCTTTATTTAGGGACCTCAGTCCCACACTGGGATCAGAGTATTCCTGTTTTGATTTCTGAAAATACCACTGTTCTGCTTTTATTTTCTGTTTTGGTAGCTTAGAGTGGGAGCCTGCCAGTTCCCTCTATTCCCAGCCAGAGTAAGTAGTGCTTTAGCTTTGGAAGTGCCTGTTTGGAGTAGGTGCATCCTTCGTGTCCTACCTCTGCCAGGTTTCCCCTGCAGCTGGAGAGCGGTCAGACAGTGGAGTGCACAGTGGCTCAGTACTTTAAGCAGAAATACAACCTGCAGCTGAAATACCCCCACCTACCCTGTCTCCAGGTTGGCCAGGAGCAGAAGCACACGTACCTGCCCTTGGAGGTGAGTGCCAGCTCTGCGCCGCTGGGGCCCAGCTCCTGGGCGCCGTGCGAAGCAAAGGCGGCGGTCTCCGGCCTTTGCTGCCAGAGGCATGACCGTAGTCTGCAGCTGATGTGCCGTGGGCCCTGCCCGCCTCGGTGTTCACCTGCAGAGAGCCGTTTCTCAGAAGCGAGGGATGTGCCATAAAAATGCCACTTTCCTCGTTCCTGCTGGAAGAACTTCTAACGTAAAGCGGATGTGGATGTTAAACGCGGAGTCAGCGGCTCTGAACGCTGAGCTGAACAGCCCTTCTCTGTTCGCCAGCGCAGCTGCCGGCTCGGCGCCTCCGCTTCGGTGCTAGCTGCAGGGCCGCGGGCCCGCGGGCCGCGATGCTCCGTGCCCAGCGTGTTCCTGACGGGCCGCGGCTTGCTTTT